CCTCTCTCTACCTCTCTCTACCTCTCTCTACCTCCCGAGTCCTGCAACCCTAGCATCCTGCACACACGGTGGTTCTTCCTTTTCCTTCTTATAAATACTCTTATATCAGCTGGTGCTCATACAAAGAAAATGCGATGTGCATCGCCGCTGAAGAGGAGCGAGCGCGGAATCTTTCTTTATCTTCTCTATACGTCAGACGCTCCTGACAACTTCATTTTCCTTAGCCTCTGTTGCACTTAACGGAATGCATCTTGGAGCTGTAAATCTTTATTTCACATACATGGTCGACGATCAAGTTGGACGAAATTTTTACTTGATAATAGTTTAATTGTCGTGCATTATATAGAAACGAACGGATACTTCACTCTAATTCCGACACGATGAAAAAAAAATCTCATTAGTGTTTATAGAGTGGAGTTTTGCACGTTTCTTGTTTGTTTGTTCGTTGGTTTTAATTTTTTTATATTTTTTTTTTTTTTTTTTTTTTTTTTGTGCACAGGTATCGTGAGAATTTATAAAGTCATCGTAACGATTCTTTTATTACATCGCATTTCGATTCGTCAAGTTAACGTTACGAACGTTACTGACGTCGCTTTTATCGCCCATCGTGTTGAAATGTTAAAAACTCCATGAACACAAACAAAATAAATAAAAAAAACATAAAAATTCGTGTCGTCCAGTGTACTGTACTTGCTCTTTTCATTCGATCTTACACGATGGAAAAAGTGTAGCGCACGTGTTTCCTTATCGAAGAAATACAGATGAAAAAAAAAACAAAACATAAATAATGATAATAATAATAAAAAAAAACTTAACATTTGCATAATACTGGGCACAATCCGAGTTATTGTAAATACAGTCGGCAATACTTTCATTTATACGAATTTGGATTTTGCTGCAAGAGCAACGATAAGATAGTAGTGATTGGTCGAAAAGCACTCTATTCGACCCATCAACGCCCAAAAATCCGCAACGAGAAAAAGGAGCAAAGTCAGCATAAGTAACCAGCCAGCGTTCGCCGCCAGCCAAATAAAGCAAAAGTCAAAGCAAGCAAGCGACAAATAACTCGTAATGCCTGCGCGAGAGTAAACAAAAGAGATAGATAGATAGAGAAAGAGAGAGAGATAGAGAGAGAGAGAGAGAGAGAGAGAGTGAGTGAGTGAGTGAGTAAGATAGAGGGTATGTGCGTGTGCATGTGCGTAAGTATGCTTGCGTATGTAAGAGTCAGTGAGTGAGCGAACGAGCGAGAGAAAGAGAGAGTGAGAGAGAGAGAGATAGAGAGAGAGAGAGAGGGAAATGTGCCGCAGTCTTGTTTGTCTTGTGATGTTGACATTACTAACACTTGGCGCGCTTGGGCGTGTTGGATACCGGCGTGAAGGGCCTGCAGCAGCGGAGGATGTTGCAGGTGTGATAAGGAGCGGTCTCGCGCCCGCCAAACCTCGGCGCACCTCGAGCATGCGGGACCAGCAGCCCCAGGCCCAGCCGTGCTCGTCGAGGCCCGACGAGGAACTCGTCACCGTCACCGCGGGTCAGTCGAGGCATCGCGGACTGGCCGAGAGGCAGCGGACCCCGGCCTCCGACTCATCGGTAATAAATAACTGTCTAGACCCGCGCCCCCTGGTGGCGTCCAACCAGGCCCCACCTCGGTGCCGAGCCCGGCTCCTAACCCTCTCCCTCGCTCCCTGCCCCCTACCCACCCGATTGCCAATTTCGGTAGCTAAAAGCTGGAAACCCCCGTCCGTGGCATATCGCTGGCATGCCTCGATGACGCTAGCGACCCAAGGGAAACCTGGTACAGGCGAATTTGATTCGAGCGCAGGTGTCGAGCGAGGCCCCGACCTGCGAGTACCTCTCGACGAGCTCGATCGACCACGATGACTCGAGCCTCGAGCTGCGCCACGGGGCCGGCAATCATCCCGTCACCAAGAGGCAGTCGGACAGCGGTACCCTCGACTCCGCCGGCCAGCATGAGCTCAAGTTCCAGCAGCCGCTCTTCATCAGGTCGAGCTCTCTGCCGTACTGCATGAGCGAGACCGAGGCCGAGCTTCGCTCACCCTTCCGTCCCTACAGTCACAATGACAAGGTTCGTAAGTAAAAAGCGATCCGGTGGACTCGCGACTCCGTGTCAAATCCGGATAGTTAACCTTGGACAATCAAAGGTCAGACCTACTCGTGTCCGACACTCCAAGCGATCGATGATGCAAAAGGTCTGGCTTGCGATTAGTCGCCTCGTTAAGACGCTGAGCGCGCCATGTTCACGAGGTCGCATTGGCGATTCGACTTACAACAATCTAGTCTCTCTCTCTCTCTCTCTCTCTCTCTCTCTCACTCTCTCACTCTCTTTCTCTTCCTCCCTCCCTCCCACTGTCATTCAGGTGTTTAACGCGGAGGAGAATTGGAAGAAGGAGGAAGAATCGCGAATCGGCAGGCTGAGGCAGCGTAGGGGCCGAAGCATAGTACATCGTAGCCTGGAGGACAACTACGGCGCCGTTATCGTCGCCAATCACGAGGCGCTCGCCCAATTTTTGGAGCAGGTTTGTATTAAAGCAATATAATATGGGCGTCGCCGATCGCGAGTTCACCCGGTGAATAATCAAGGCCTTCGAAACCGTCCGGCAGACGAATCAGGCGACGCCCTTGGGGACGAGCCTGCGTGGCCTCAAGGCAGCGAGTCTCCGCTTCCGGGACTTCAACGTCGATCGGAGCACGGCGCTGGTCACGGGCCGACGCGTCTTCCTCTCGGCCGCTTGGAACGAGCAGAACGTTACCGTCTGCGTAGCCTTCGAGCCCGGCATGCACGTCTCGCGGAAGGAGTTCTACCTGGCACCGATCGCCGAGTTCATCGACACCGTGCCCAAAGACATTGCCGAGCTCGGCTATTCGACCGGTCGCAAAACCGCGGAAGGTCAGTGCATGGTCCGCTTAAAAGCTTTTAATAAAAGCTTTAGGCCGATCGAGACGATTGGTAATGCAGGGAAGAGCCTCGATTATATTTTCATGACGTTGGCGTGTTTCCGCGATTATTTCCCGCCCAACTCAACATAACGCGATAACTATCCCTTTGTGCTTGTCTTAGCCGACTTGAGGCATGAGAATTATGAGAATTATGAGAATTAAAAGCTCGAGTCTTCTTACTTAGCATACTTTCGCCAATTCAATTCGATTCCATTCGATTCGATTCGATTCGATTCGATTCGATTCGATTCGATTCGACTCGACTCGACTCAATCAACGTAATGATGAATTAAACATGCGCAGCTACGATATCGGTCCTGCCGCGGCTACAAGTCAACACTCTCAAGTCGTTCGCCGAGGCGATCGGCGAAGCGGAGGCCAGCATCAAGGACGAGAACGCCACGAGGGAATCGTCCTTCGTCCTGCTTCAGCTCGTGAGCGCGCTCAAGAGCCTCCAGGCGCGAGGGATCGAGGAGGCGCCCGGGAGCCTCGTCAACGTCGTTCTCTGCCGCGAGAACAAGGACGCCTATCATCGACTCTATCTGTTTCAAGGGTGAGCCATGGCGTTGCGTGGGCGTGGTTTTGCTATTTTATCCGTGAAAGCAAATTAATGGTTGTCGTGCGACCAATTTGCCGGGTATTTTGTTATGTTTTGTTGTTTGCTCTCGGCATTTACGTGCCTTATGAGATATCCTGGCTACCGGCATTAAGATTTTACATTAAATTGAGTTTAATGTCCACGTCGGACTTGCCATAAATATATATGGGGAACGTCAAGTTTTTTCTTGTCTTTCTATTTTTCTGTTTTTTTTTTTTTTTTTTTTTTTTTTTTTGTGTGTTTTGTGTTTTGTTTTGACTTTTTTTCTTTTTTTATCAAAATATCAAAGACTCGATTAATGATCGAAGGAACTATAATAAGCCATAGACAACGTATAAAAATGTCTTTTAATAACACAGGTTGAGCATCGATAGTTCGGAAAACAACAAGGACGAGTATGTGTCACTGTGCCAATGCGCGCTTAATGCCTTGGAAGAACTGAATCTCGTGAAAAAGCTCCCTCTTATTCAAGAATTGCTCATGCGTGAGAAAGCAATTACACTGTCGCAGGTAAGAATTCGACACTCTAATCTATTCATCGAGTGAAAGCTTATTAATGCACAAACACATTTATTTATAAGCCGTGTAATTAGATGGATATTTTGTCGCACGGCTCAATCGGCTGTAATTCAACGTTCTCAATAACGCCGACGGTGTTTAAGACAATTTTCGTTGATTACAATATTAAAAGACTCAGTCGCGATATTACCGGCCGATCGCTTTATTCGCTATTACTTTCGTCTTATTGAGCTCTACCCACGCTATCGCGAGTAATTGAAAAAAAAAAAAAAAACTTGCCCGAGATAATACGGATAATGGTGGCGGTCGATTACTATCCAGCCAAATACGTACGAAATATAAAATCACCTTCCCATTATTAGCCATTATCGAATTAATTGACTTAAACTTCAAATGGAATTAAGTTATATCTGTATAGTAATTCTCAGCTCGTGTAATTGTAAATTAAGACAATCTTCGTTTTAATAACTTTGCATGCGCATTATGATGGCTTGTGTAATTATTAAAGTATAACGAGAAAGTATGAGTTTATGCTGGTAAGATCGTTCGATCTCGTATTCTTTTACGCGAGTAGATTTAGCTTAGAGCAGTTGGCTTATAACGAGCATTTACTTTGATCATCGTTCGCCGTTCCTTAACGCGAGATTATCTTATTGAGAAGCACTTATCGATATAACGATAATTATTAACTCGCGATAATATCGTGGGACACGATCGCTTAATCGCTGAATCCGGCACACCTTGTACCGACAACATTGACAATACGATCGTCAGATGCAATTGACAAGGACAAAACGTCGATCGATTACGCTGATATTGTTGCCTGTCTACTCAACCCCCCCCCCCACACACACACACACACCTCCCCCCCCCCCAGCCACACGCGCACGCACACGCGCACACACACGTCGATAAAGCTACTTGAATGCCGCAAGCAAAATCTTACAAGCGAGTCGCACCGGTGTATACGGTGTATAAACAATAGTAGTTAACTAAGTCATTCTCGTGACTCATGCCGCAGGTGAAATCCATCCTGGAGTTCTCGCTGTGGGGCCCAGCGGACGTGACGCTCGGCGGTCCCCGTGAGCGCGAGACGGCCCTCCAGCGTTGGCTGGACCTCGAGCGGGCGACGGTCCTTCACGCCCTGGTGCGGGCCCGGGCCCAACTGACCGTCACCGACGAGTACCAGCTGCTCTTCCTCGTGCGCACCAGCGCCAAGGTCATGTGCGAGGCGTCGCTGCAGCTCGACAGACAGCGCACGGGACTCCTGAGCGTAGGTGGCATCCTCTGAGATCGATCGACACTTGCCGTCGACCGACGTGCCACATGACGAGGAAGCTGCTGCTTCCACCGGGGACCACTAACGACGGAGAATCCTCATTCTTCGCTACATATCGCGTAAAATGGCGACGAGATCGATCGGTCCACTACCCCCGCTACTACCGCCACATTACGCAGAGGATAATTTCATTAAGTACGCGGATTATCTTTCATCGCGTTAGCGAATTAAATAATAATAATAACATACGTACAATAATATAGTTTGGTAACTATTGTGCATACTAATGCTTAGTCGTCGTACCACCATCAAGGTAATTGTATTTTTAATTTACGTAACTCGTCGCACGTTTTTGACTTGCCAGAGCTTCGTTCTCGCTCAACCAATAAGTAATGTAGCGTTTTCAATTAATTAGGAGAAATTTTCGGTTGGCAACTATACATATATAGTTAGAAGCATACATTAGTATCGTTAATGATAAACGATAATTTTTATACGTTTTTTATACAAGTTCCCCCCCCCCCCCGTTGTTTATAATAATTAATTAATTTGTTTGTTGATAGTGAATTAGTGAAAAATTACAAATATAGATTAGCTTGAAACTCTAACATACGACTCTTTCGCGCTAGGTCGTTGTGATCTAATGTTTTTTTTTTTTTTTGTTTTTCTTTCTTTCACACGAGAACATCATATTTAGTCGTTTGGAAATGCCATACTCCTTTACTTACTCATTATTAATTAAGGCCTATAACGGTACAAGGATACTAATTGCGGAACAAGCTAAGAAACAAATATTACTGCAATGTTTAATATATGTGGCTAAAAATTTATTTAAATAAACTTTTAAATAAATATACATACATTCGCAATATCGACTTGTTCCTGTTACTGTAAGGTATCTTGCTACGATATTATTATTATTATTATTATTATTTTTTTTTTCGTTTTTAACAAAAAGCTTATTGTTAATTAATACTTTATTACCATAAAGATTATTTAGATATCCCGGTTATTATTTATTCATAAGTGTAAAAGATTCGATATACTTGATGGAACGCCAGATCTGTTAATGTACATGTTTTAGTATAAATGCGAATATATATGTATATGTATATATATATATATCAATATATATTATGGAGCTCGTATTCTAAAAAAGGGAAATTTTGTATTTTGTCGTAGAATGAAGTCGTTGCTGCTGTTGGCAATATAAATATAAGAATTGTATCAATCAATGAAATATTAGAGAAATATATTTATATTGACAAACATTTTGTATAATACATAATGATAATGATCGAACGAGCTTATCCGACGTGAAATGTTATAATGATTATGTGGAGAGCCTCGTCCTCGTAATAATATATGCAACTTCCTTCCTATTTCACTCAACATTACAACTTTAAGAGATAAAAATAATGGGATCGGCTAATCATTGCAAGGCAAGACATTTCCTTGACGTACGCTATCATTAAAAAAAAAAAAAAAAAAAAAAAAATGCACGATTAAGGAAAATGAAGAGGAACAATATCGAGCAACACTCTTGATATAATCAAAATCGTATTTCATTTAATCGACTTAACGATATTTCTAAACCTCATTCTAAACATTAAACATTGTATTGTTTATTGAATTTTGAAATTTGAAACTTCCATCGAATAATATGAAGAAATAGCATTGATTAGACATCATTGACGACATGAAATTCATCCTCTATTTAGTACTAAACATAACTCGTGTTAATTATAAAATTTTGTATAATTATAAGTTATATTCGATTAATGTATACACTACTCGTTACAAAAACATTATTGTCAAAACAGTAATTAATAATTCTTTTATACATTTAAGCCTGTAAATATAAATAAATATATTTATCGAAAATTAATTATTTACTTAATAATAATTTAATACTGAAATACGCTGATATTATTTATTACAAATTCTGCAAAAGAATTTTAACAATTTATGTATTAATCTTGTGACCGATAGTTTTTCGAAAAATCGATTAATTACTACAATTTTTGTCGTAAGACGGGATAATTTGCAATTTGCTGAATTTGTTTTAATTTCTAATAACATTAACAATAGTTTTGAAATTCATGCCCAACTCTTGTAAACTGACTGAGATAATTAATGTATTTACTGTACTCTCATATGCATGTGTCACTAGTCAAAAGCAGTAGGATGTGATATGATTCTTTTATTTTCAACTCCACAGTCTTTGATAACAAACAAATGTGAAAAAAAATCACATTATCATCGAAGCAGAGTCTGAACGATAAACATTATCTCTTGTCATATTAACATTATTAAAGATTTTTTTTCTTTATTTCACAATAAAATTATTTATATTTTTATTCAATAACTACTGAATTATAATAAAATATATATTAAGACTCCAAGATGGTAAGTTTCATAAGCGGTTCGTATGTTAATGTATAACCCGAGAAAATAGATGATTTTTCAATGTTCCATTTTATCTTTAAGTGTATAATAATGTCACATTTTAAACTGAAACATGTAATTATTTTATTAAAAGTTAAAAATGATTTTAATCTCGTTAAATTACTTTTTACAACATGTAACAACTGTTTCATTTGTATTAAATACACGCGCGCACACATTTATATATATATATATATATATATAAATCAACTGACAAATATACTATCGATTAAAAATAAATGTAAATAAAAACTCTGTGCAAATACGCATTAAATTTCAATTTACAAAAAAAAAAAAAAAAAAAATAAAACCATCGCTAGATTATACAAATTTGAGTGATAAATTAAAGAATCATCTGTATTTCACAAATTCTTCTTTCAAGACACTTTTTTTTTCATTTGTTCAATTCAATATCATATTTTATTAATTTTTATATACTAGCGTTGTTTATATTATCAACTGCACGAATAGAAGAAAAAAAAGGTCGTGGAGACTAATTGTTGTAGTACGCTCAACTCTAATTCACCAACTAAACAAAGTTTTAATCACAATTTCATTGAAAATTTGAAAAAGACATTATTACCGCATTACTTCTTTTTTTTTTTTTTTTTTTTTTTTTTTTTTTTTTTGTCACTATATATATGTTGAAACATGATATTGAAATGGAAAATATTTTTAGAAATTATCATATATATTTGTAATAATTTTACAATTAATTTTGGTATGTTTATTTTATTTTAATTATAGGTTTGGTGTTGAGACAGATATTGTTAAAATTAGATTTCGTCGCAGGATCTTTAAAGTCCCCTTTGTAAATACTAGTAGCTCCGCCAAATGGAACTTTAAAAAAAACTCTTGGATTTACTGGGTAAAATGTTTGAACGTCTGGAATTTTCTTTTTAACTTCGTTCTTGTAATCGAACCTGACGCAACTCTTACCGTTGGCCATTGGCGTTTTATCGAAATGTTTGTGCACAGAATGAGAAGTGGTTATGTAGGGGCAAAAAAAATGATCTCGTTGTTCATTGAAAGAGCTGTTTATTTTATTCGATGACGTTTCGGTATAAAAATTTTGTAATAATTTCATTTCAATTGTTTCCGTTGGTTCAACGTAATCTGTACCTAAATTTGAAGTCGATTGTACAATTAGCGTATAAATAAAATATTTAAAAATAATAATCCACTAATGGTTCTTGAGATTATTTCTATACATCGAACAACATAGGAAAATCTTGTAAACCAATTATTACAAAGATTCCATAATATAATTAAGAATGAATAAAGTATGTCTAAATGTAACCACAAGACCATTTGAGTTAAAAATTCATTATAATGAATATGCAAAACCTGAGATTGTCTCATTGTGTTCAAATGGCTTAACAGGTTTAATACGATATTCATCATAAAGTGACTTCAAAGTATATTTTGAAGACAAATACACCTTTCCGTGACTTTCAAAGCTTTTGTTATTCAATGCCTTGGTAGTATAATATTTTCTGTAGGTCGACAGTTTTTCATTGACAATTGGATCGTAAACGTATAAATCTGGTCTTCGACTTGGCTTAGCAACCGGCTTCGTAATTACCTCCTTGTTCGGGCAACATTCCTGCACATTTTCGTAATAATGCGCACGCTCGTAGGACGTTTTAAAACAATTGGCCTTTCTTTGCGTTTTCGTTGCTGCACACATAATTTTGAAATTTCATTTTTTCTTCTTCTTTAAGCTATTACAAAGGAAATGTATAAATGCTGACTAGTCATCCTGAATATGATGTTGCGAACAAAAAGTAAAAACAAACGAGAGTCTATTAATTACCATCTTTGTGTTTTCTCTCTTTTTTTTTTAGTTTTTTTTTTTGTTTTATTTTGTTTTTAATTTATTTCTTAATTTAGTTATTACTGTTTTACTGCAGTCATTGTAATGTACATCTATCTCATTTCAATGACTTTCCTTCCCTCCACAGAAGCGTATTTAGAATTTGAATTAGATTCTTCATTTATTGGTCGCTTGATAAGCGCTAATTTTCGAAGTGACTAACACACACCAGCATACATGTACGTACACGCACGTGCAACATCAAGGCATACAACGAGATGATAAAATTTTCGATGTTAGTTTTTATGTAAGCTTACTTATTCTCCATTTTATCCTTTTTGTTTGGGTTCATTTTTGTTTTTGTTTTTTTTTTTTTTTTGGTTTTGTT